ATAAAAATTGGATTCCAATGGCTGGCAGCAGAGCCCCATCCAGTCAGGTTTAACTGGCAGCCTTCCAAAGGCAAGATGAAAGGTCCTCTGAGTAGTAATTGTCTAAATGGAACAGACTCTGGTTATTGTGCAACTTCTTCATCTACTTTATTGTACCTTTATAATTAAATGATGCAATTCCCTTTTTTCCTTTCTTGTTTTCCTCTCAGCTATTGCAGGAAAGCATCTGAGCAACATTGCCATAGGATGCAGGCAGACTCTGTGGCTCCTTTTTTCTTTTCTGGCTCACTACAAGCTGTATACAAGGAGTTGTGAACTACTGGTTGCCAAAGCAGGACATAAACTTTGCCTTCTCCCAGACGCTCACCTGCATTCCAGCTCTCTGGCTTCTTAGTGCTGGAGTTGGTTGGCTCACTCAGAGTTGTTGCTTGGGCGAGGGATTGCTGCTTTTGCTAGAAACTCCATAGTAAACAGGCAAACAGTGGATCTGGTAGGACAGGGTGAACACTATGCTCAAAGGGGCCTCTAGCAGCGAGGCTATCCAGTTTGTGGAGGAGACTGGACAAACATATGAGAATCAGAAGAGATCTAGAATATTGTGCTGAACAAACCCAGAGCCAGCATTTCCTGACTCTGCAAGGCTTTAGGAATCAGGAGTGAAACTCTGGTCCTGAGATGCTAAAAGGTTTGATCAGATGTGAAAGTAGAATCAGAGGAACAGCTCTGTTAGCTCTTTCTTTTTCACTGGTCCCTCTGTATGAGAGTGCTTTCCCTCAGTCCAAGTAGTCCACTCCCAGAAATATAGATTATTCAACAGAGTAAAAGTTAGCAAGACTGAGAACTCAGATTGCATGTTCAACTCAAATGATTTCTTTACTGATTGTCATTTCTGTTGTTTCTGATTTGATTTATTTTTTTCATGATGACAAAGAGAAAAAATGAACTGCCTAATTTTGTTGCAGCTTTAGAATACTCCTCGGGTCTTTGGTCTCATGCTTGTCTCCCTCTCCCTGAGTATTCTTACTAAAAGGGGAAAATGATGCCTTGAGTTTTAACTTTCATATTTTTCAGATTCTGTGCTGCCTAGGTGTGTAGTTTTGAGCTTCATATTAAGCGTCAGTAAGTTCTCTTCACAGGGTAGGTAGACAAAACAATCCTTTTCCAGCTTGGTACCAAGGACAATCATTACAAGTTTCAGGCCCAAAAGCATAAACAACAATTGGACTGAAGAGAGCAAACAAGGAGGATGGGACTTCATAACCTGGAGCTATAATTGGACAACTAACCCCAATGTGTAAATGGACCAAAATGTGTAAAAGTTTGAGACCTCATGACCAGTTGTCCATTTTGTGACCATTTTGGGTCCATCTTGGGTGTGGCCATGTCCAGGCTCTTGTACTGCCCAAGGTGTATCCTTTAATGCCTTTTAATAAATACCCATTTCATTCTTAACCCTGTCTAGCCTCTGTTCTAGGTCAGCCTTCTGAAGGCATCAGTTCCAATCTCTTTTAATTCATTGCCTATTTACCTAATCATATTATTTTGAAATATGCACATGGGTTCCATGAAAATACCAAAAAAGTATAGAAGAAATAAAAATAGGACCAATTATTTTATATATGCATTGCTATCTATTATACCTATATATTAAAAACCTGAAACAACAGATCTCCAGTTTTTCTAGCAAAATCCAGCATAAAGGTCTTGATTTACTTCCCAGAAAGCAAAAACAAATACAGAATAGAATTACAGAAGCGACCCAAACTATTCAGGAACAGAACTGGTTTTTAAAATCACTGGTATCAGAATATTGCCAAGTACCACAATTCCTGATCCTGCCACAAGCCATTGCCTATAGCTTGTATTAATTTCAGCAGAGTTCATAAGCAGAATAACTGCAGGGTATTTGCAAAGCTAGTTAGGCTCTTAATGACCATTTTTTGTTATACTTTGATAGACAAATCTCAATAGACCATTCTCAATACTGGAAGCTTTGCCCAGGGAAAAATGTAGGATCTGTTTTAAACTAAATGGATCACAGATCCTGTCCAGCTTTTAAAACAAATAGAATAACAAAACACTTCATAAAATTTATATATTCAATTATATATAACATTACACACCAGATTTGGGGCCAGAACCTGCATTAGTTCATCCGCTTCTGGAAGAGGTATATACATTAAATTAACAGAGGAAAGAGAGTTAAATCTCTATATACCAATAAGAGTCTCTTTTATAAGGTATTTGCCCTGGATCTCACAGAGAGTGATTTCATCTGTGCAAGAATATGTGTAACCCCAGTCAGGTTATTTGAACACTACACACAGAGAATATCTGCAGCCCCTCACATCTGCACATGACATACTCTGTCCACACACCCATCCCTGCAACTCCTGACTCCCAAAAAAGTATCTCTCATGGAAGTGAGAGATATTTTTAGTTTTAACTTTTAGTTAAAAACTTTAAGTTTTCACTTTCATGATAGATCCTGTTGGTATGAACCTGGAATACCTGACTTACTTTGAACTCACAGCTCTTCTCAACACTGGACAGCAATAACACTTACTACACTTTCATCATATAAGTGAGGATCAAAAAGGAAACATCTCCATTTTTATTTCTGAACAAGTCAAACACTTTATTGAATTGCCATTATACTCGCTTTTTCTGTGTTTCAGTCTAGAGGGGGCAAAGGAACACACACCTCTATAGCATTTATGGGTGACTCTTCATCATGGCTGAGAGCTATAGCACAGACAGATCCTCACCCCAGAAAGGCCATCCAATGAGCTAAAATGCTGCTGTTCAATGTTACAAGTCTCCCTCCTTTAACACTTCTCTCATCCTTCCATGAGATTTGTTAGAAGCATATCAGAAAACCTTCAGAGCAGGCACGGAGTGACACACCCAGATATTTGCACACAGCTTCTTTATGTGCACAAGTTACACTTCTCACCTGGGGGCAGTGACTTTGCGAAGTGGCTCTCTGGCCACCTGCAGACACTCATATCCAGGAGTGTGTGCAGGGACACTCACTGCCCCTGAGCCCGGGGAATCCCTGGCTACCAGCTGGGTGCTGTATGTTTAGAGTTAGTTCATACACTCACACACACCCATTCTTTCACACATACATAAACACAAGCAGACTACATCAAGATCTTTCAAAGACCACCTTCTCCTTCATTTAACCACCTCATCTTGATTTGTCATGTTTTCCCTATGGTTAACACTTAGCAGAGCTGCCATTACACATAACCCAGCACCACGCAATTTCAGCTGTTTCAGGCAGGAGAAACGGACATTCCTGATCCCAGGACAAGGCAGGTGGAGAAAGAGGAAAGATTCTCACTTATTTCAGGATGAAAATCCTCTCTAATAACCACAGCTCCATTTGCAAAGGTGAGCTCTGTTGACACGTTTGCCAGCTGTCAAGGTTGAATTTGTTTATGCCCCGAGCACAGTGAGCACACGTGGCAGAACAATCTAACTCACCATGGCCAGCCCAGCACATAGCATCCTCATCTAGGTGGAGAGTAGGAATCACTCCCTTGGCACTGGAACCAGCAGCAGGGTGTCTGGGTGCTGAGGGGCTTTTGACATGTCCACTTGCCCTCTACAAATGGGGCTGAAGACACCAATCTATTTCCTAGGAGTTGTTAACTAGCAGCTGGATATGAAGGGTCCCTAGCAACACAGGCAAGATCCCAAGCAGTGATCCAGGTACACCACCTGCTTGGATGGCTTGGTACAAGTTTCTGCCATGCTACTCACATCCAGTGCTCACTCATAAAACACATGGAACAAAACATGTGCATGGGCAAACATTGGGTGTGAGAGAACACCCTTCCTGAGTAAGTAGCTTTAGGCAATAATTCCACTTGTAATGTCTGAGGAGGGAATTAATGAAGGCTATCCAGAGAGTTTGGGATAGAGAACACTCTTGGAAGACAAGTATTTTGGAAGATGGCACTATGTGAGAAGCAATGATTTCACTACAATGGAAATTAACCAATGGGGAATCTTCTGACTGCAACAGGAGAGCCATGGAAGGAAAATGTTATTTTGTAGTACAGAGTAACCATGCTGTGGGTAGCAAAGATGTCATCCTTCACTGAAACCCTGATCATCCTGCCAAAACATGCATCTTCTGTTTAGGCAGGGGTTAATGCATGTGGCCCCTTCCTATACTTCAGATCAAAGAAACATTTCAGGCAAAATGACCATCACCTTGAATCACTACCCTGGGGGAAAAATTAAGACAAAGGAACAAAAAACTAGACAAAAAATAGCACAAAAATGCTACAGGCGAACAGAAGCATCTCCACCCCAAGAGAAAATTATTCCTTTCTAATAAACTCATGTAATGTTTTACAGGTATTGAAAATATTCCAAAGCATAGCTCAGTGTAAACAGCAAGCTGGGTCTCCTCCTGCTCTTTAGCATTTCTCTTTGTTTACTCTCCATTTGAGGATAGAAAAAGCCTATATGTGAGCACTGTAAATGGTGTATTTCAGGATAGATGGGGCATCCAGAAAGGCAGTGATGAAGCACAGACATACATAGCCTCCAACAAAATACTATGTGCTTTGCCTGAGCCACCAGGGTCAAACAATTTTTTTTAAAAATAAAATACAAAAATCCAGTGTCTGCTTAATGAATACTTCTTTTTTGTGTGTGGAAATAATCTGATACCATGGTGATGGAAAGACTACATCAAGATTAGAGAGAAAGGCATGAAAGAGATATTCTGGGGTGTGTGTGTTCTCACGCCCATTGCCTTCTTGCTCCCAAAACCCATGTCTCAGGAGTAGAGATCCTGTGGGAAATTGCCCTGGCAGTGCTTCTGGTTGCAATGCCCAGCCAGGCCAGTTCACCTATTGCAAGGAGAGGTACTTGGCTAGAGATGCTAGCTCCCATCTGTGAGCCCAAATGGCTCTGCTCAGCTCCTGCTCCTCTCAAGAGAGCTTGGCATGTTCATCTGGTAAAAAAACAGCCCTTACCTTTGGCAATCAGCTCCTCCAGCTCCTGGTCGAATCCTTGTCGGTGGCATTTCCTCCAGAGCCCCATATTGGTGGAGTTGTACTGTCTGTTGCACTCGTCGACTGCGCTCATAGCAAAGATCTGCCTCCTGTTTCTTGCCAAGAGGAGTTTCCCTTCCCAGCGGTCCAACCTAGACCTGCTGGCCCTGAGAGGCAGGTTGTTGTTGGAGTTATAAATGAAGCCAGGATCATTTCTCTTAGTGGTGATGCTCTTGCACCTCTCTCTGTGCTTCCTGGCATCAGTTTCATACCAATGGTCAGAGCAGATTGCCACAGCCAGCATGCCAAGGGCACACAGAGCTAAAGAGAGGCCAGCATAGAGCAGTAACCTTCCAGCAGCCATGCCTCAGCTTCACAGAAACACCATGGACATCTTCACAACAGGCAAAGCCGCTGGGGGTGAGACCACGCAAAAACCACCGGAGCAGCTGCTAGGTGTCACTTGGCACAGACTGCCTCAAACATCCCAAACTCCCGTGGCTCACATCCACGCTGCAGAGGGATGCTGAGAGCACTACAAAGTTCTGCCCTGGAGGCAGTCTTGGAGTCTCATCTGCCTCTTCTCCTCTGCAGAGGAGACCTGGTGAGGAGAAACACAGCCTTTCACCAGTGACCCCCTCACTGCCAGCACCCGAGTGCCGGGGCCTGAAGGGCTGAATCCCCCTGAAGAGACCTGATGGCTTATCAGTTCATTAATCTCTTTCAATCTGGCCCACTCAGAAATCCAGAAGAGATGGCTTTCAGATCAGCAAGCTCACTACAGCATCATCACAGGACAGAAAAGTTCAGCAGCCTGACATCTCCCACTTGCAGGCAGCCAGTTGTCCCGGTTTCAGGAATGGGTGACTTGCCTTTTCCTTCTCAGTGGCTCAGCAAGAGCATCATCGTCTGGACGGTCGGTCACTTGCTTGGGTTTAAAGCGGGGTCGGAAGGGAGGGAGCAAGAGGGGGGGAGCAATCTGTTGTTGTTGTTGCTGCTGCCGCTGCTGCTGCTGCTGCTGCTGCTGTTTGAAATCGTGGTTAAAACATCCCCTCCCCGGCTGGCTCTGGGAACGCGGGCACTCACGGGTCTCTCCCTCAGCAGACTTCGCTGACAGCCACTGGCATCTTGGCTTCGGAGACACCTCGGCTTCTCTCTGCCAGCCTTGCCATTCACTCTCCCGCTTTTGTCGTAGGCGCTGTCATCCAGGCAGCCGAACGTCGCGCTGCCTTCGTTCCCCGGCGTTCCCGGGCAGCGCTCGGGCAGCCTCCCGGCTCCGGGCCGGGCAGGGGCGGCGGGAGCAGCCGCAGCCCGGCAGGAACCGCCGCCGGCCGCGCACCGCCCGCTAGGCAGCGCGGGGGGCTGCCCTCGGCCCCGGCATCCTTCTTCCACACACACACACTCACACACGCTGCTGCCCCCCCTTCCGCCGGCAGCTGAGAAGCTTCCTCCGTCCCCGGCGCTGGGATGTGTTGTGCACAGTTTTCCTAACACGGCGGCACGTTAGCCATCTGCAAGATGAAGGCAGGCAGGGCTACGGCTGGCGGAGAGGATGCTGAGGATGCTGAGGGGAGGGGAGGGAGGTCGGGGGAAACCGAACCAAAACAAACCGGGGCGGAGGGGCGGAGGGGCGGAGGTGGGGGGGAGCTACACACCTTACACGGGGAGAGGAAAGCAGCCCCTAACTGTTGTCAACAGCTTTCGGGCTGCACCATTTCTCTGCCATATGGCCCGGTCTCCTCGTCGGAGCTGAGATTTTTTAGCTCAGCAGCTTCGTACGAATCGTATCCCCGGCATCAGTAGTTATATATGCAGACATATTTCTTTCTCCTTAAATTTTCACTCCCTTTCTCTTTAATGGGAATAACTCACCCATCTTGTAGATATCAAGTGCAACAGAAGGCGGGCTGGAGTCCCCAAGCTTTAGAAATCTCATTTCACCGTTTTTAACCCAAATAATAGCAAATCCAATCTTCTGTACACCTGGGAATCTTTCCTTGTTCAAACACCGAGCCCTGCAGCCTTGGCCGAAGCCTACAGACCGAGCATACAGAGCGCTGAGCCAAAAGCCAGTGATGTCACCCATGCAACGTGAGACTCATTTCTTATTTCTCTATCCTCCTTAAAGATAAACTGCACCACTTCCCAGGCAGGAAATGTCGAAGCCTTACCCTCTTAAGAGGGGAAAATGTAAAACCTGGATTTAACTGGATCCTGATCATTCTCGATCACAAGACCTTACATTATGCCAGCCAAATCCAAAACAAGAGGAGCTGCTTCTCACTGCACCAAAAAAATCCCAACCTGCTACATAATAGAGAGAATGAGCTTGAATGAAACCCTGGATTCTAAACCTTCTGCATGATCCAGAAAGCAGAGGCCTCCAGACTCTGAACTGTACTGTTAAAAAAGAAATACACGTGGTCATTTCCCTTGGACCAAAAAGGGCTAGATGCTGGCGCATCCTGATCTGTGAGTACCACAGCATCCTGGAGCTGACGGAGGAACTAAGTTAGCCCCATCCAATATTTGGCTCCCACTGACTCCACAGCATGAATGGCAAATAATGTAGTTGCTCCTATTGCACCAAAAAGTCCGCAGCTCAATGCCTCCCCACAGATGTATGCTGCAAAAATCTCGATCCCTGCTGGATCCTACCAGCTTTTGGCCTCTGAATCCCAAGCTGTGTCCCCTGGATTGAAAATAAGCACAGCCTCTCTGGGGCTGGTGACAGCCCTTGACCCCAGATGGGAGTCCTGGGATTTTGCTAGGTTTTAATCCTAGACACCCAAATTATACTTGCTCCAGTGGGGAGAGCAGATGTAGTAGCTGTTTGTGTATCAGAAATATGTACCTGGATTGTTTTGTGGAATACAGCTGCACCAGGAAAAAAACTAACTCATATGGCTGGATCATAACAATATTTGGCACCAAAACAAATAGTATTATTGAAAAAAACAAAACATCTCCCATTTTACCTGGCAAAACCAGGGCCCATATCAACTGGGATTTGCACCTATGGAAGAGTATCTATGTCATTAAACCATTTTTGGTGTGAAATGTTCTGTATTCTCTAATCAACTTGCAGGATTGTGAGTCTGGCAAAGAAAAGTCAGTCATCCAAACCATAAAGGTTACAATCATCTGCATCTACTGAGTCGGGTCTATTGCAAAATTTCACTGTTGTGTTATGAATATTCACTGTGTCTGGAAAGCTCAAGGTAAATTTAAGAGTTTTACTGAAAAAAGGGACTACTTTAATTTTTTTAGCAGTAACTTCCTCTCGTTGTTAATAATAACAGTCAATATTTAAGGATCTCAGGTTTTTTTAAAAATTGTTCAGCACAGATGGATCCACTTCTATAACTGGATGTTTCAAGGAACTACATGTCCATAGATAAAAAGAATTAGATGTTGCAGTAGGCCTGGAGCAGCCATACTTGTTGTCTGTTCAGAAATAAAATTGGAGTTTTGTGGTCGAAAAGCTGTTGGCTCCTATAAGAAGATGACAAACAGGTTTCTCATATCACACCCACACAGAGATGAAAGTGCACCTGGATTTCTTTGTCAGTTTTTAGCATCAAGTCCAAAGCTGAAGGATGAGAACAGGGAACAGGCAAATTTTATGAACGGTATTTTTTGGCTGATTGTTGGATTTTCTGTTTAAGCACAAGAGCCTGCTATGTTTATTCTCTATTTAGATTGAACTGGAAAGCAAAATTGTTTTCTAGTCTAAACATCCAGTTTAGACAGAATTGGAAGACTGGGACTAAGAGCAGAATGGAGGACCCAACTATTAGAACTGTTTTTTCTTGTTATACTGGCCAAAGATACGTGAGAAGGTGGGAAAATCATATAATTCCTTCTTGTTAAACATTAGGATTACAGTCCAAAGAACCAAGATTTGGTTGGACACAGGAAGGTCCAGGTGCCAGGTTTTCCCATCACACTCCAGGACAGCAAGTTTGGGGCAGGAGGACTTTTGTACAGAGAGAAGCCAGACTTGTTCCCTCTTTTTATTCTTAAGCATTGGTATGAAAGCCAAAAATTGACATTCAGTTCCAGGTTTTATCTTTTTTTTTTTTTGCTTACATTTGTAGCTTTATCAGATGCAGTCTATATCTTTCTGCAAGTCACCTTAAACATAACTGTAAGAGAAATTGTTGGATTTTAGTCCCTCTTTAACTCTCAGAATTAAACATTTTTCTCCTTCATCATCATCATTATTATTCCTTTTTTTCAGGAGGGGAGAATATTGCTTTCTGCAGGCATTAGGAACCTTCTCTGTGTCTCTAACCGGGATTATTACAGACAGCCCCTTCTCAGCACAAACAGATCATTATTAAATTCTCTCCCTCCCACCCCACCCCTGCCTCACCAGAGGGCGGAAAAAACAATCCTTATTGAAAAAAAACAATCTTCCGATGAATGTAAGCTGGGAGAAGGACATTTTTAAAAAACAAACCCACAACCCCTCCACGCACATTTGGGCACACGACACGGAAACTGCTCCCGACAGTGAATTAAGGACATCTCAGCACAGGGCGCTAATTCATGGGTCTTAAATGAATCAGGGAGTGAAAATGCAGTTTCAGCGATGGATTGAAAGCTGAGGCTTTCTTTTCTGCGGGTCACGATTTCAGTGATCCAGGCAGAAAGCTGTAGCACACGGGTGCACAGGAAAAATGTCTGAAGGCATGGGACAGAGGAGCGGAGCACGGTGAGTCTGTTCAGAGGCAATTCCTCGTCCAGAGCCAAGCTGCCTGCTGGACCTCACTACGGATGGTGTCCTCCAGCTAGGGCCAGTCTCCTCTCCGTTCCCTCCCAGCATCGTTTCCGCTCTCCCGAGCATCCTCCAGCGAGCATCGCGCCTCTCCAGAGAGCTCCAGACACAAAAGCAAAGCGAGCGCCGGTGAAAGGTACACAGAGGTGGGGTCTGGGGCTAGGAGCGGGGAAGGGCAGGGTAAATGGACAGACTAAATGCACAACCAATAGCAATTTGCTTTCCTTCGTCGGTTTGCTTTTGGTTTTTTTTCCGGGGGGGGGGGTCTGTTTTGGTTTTTGGGGGTCTTTTCTACATCAAAAATGACCTCCACCGTATTTTTCTCCCTTCGCCTTTTTTTTTTTTTTTTTGTTTTAAAAAAAA